TATGTATGGGTTATAATTTAAACCACATGGCTTGCTCGCAGTGTGGCAATATGCTGGCCATGAAATAATGTGGAGAGTGTTGGCTGAGGTTATTACTATGTAAATGTGTGATCATTTCAGACCGCTGCTGACTTGCTTAGTGATTAAAGAGAATTCTGAGGTCTCCAAAGATTGTGCTCTTTGCAAGGGCCTGGAGCAGAAAACTTTAAAAGGTGCTGAAAAGTGTTTGAACTTTAAAGGTCGTGATTTCCCTTTTACCATTTTTAATTTGCCAGCACTGTTTATGGGAAGAGAGCATTCTCTTTGCTTATGGCCTCTCACTTTTCCAACCATTATGCAAGTGACTCTTTAATACTTTGCTGACTGAAGGGATAGACACACAACATGTTTATTTGTAAATACAGACTCTTATGTATTTAAAGAAATAATCTCTGTCAGGACTTGAAGCCAAGAAAAGAAGGCTGAAATGGAGGAAATTCTGTGAGTCATCCCTGTTCTGGGTTTTGTGCAATCACTGAAGCAATCAATGTAAGCTACTGTTAGAAAGGATGTGAAGGGACCTTGGTCTGACTGGGTATGACTGTCTTGATGCTCTGGAGCCATATCCACAAAATCACATTTTATACTCCAGTTTAATTAAGCCAGAGTCATTATCACAGGTTAAATGATCTTGAGTAGTGCTGGTAGTGCTTGTTTTCCAAGTCCATTGAGAATAGTCTCAAAAGCACTTAGAGCCCAATCCAATGAGGCTACTTGTAACTCTCTGAATATAGAGCATTATGAGCGTCCTGTGGAGGGAGTGCGGAGGCAAAAGTTGCCTCTGTGTTTCTGCTGCCTTATTTTCCTCAGAGCATGGGGAGAGTCGGTGGAAGTGCCACAAAGATATGACATATGCTGGTAGATCTTGTATTCTTGTTCTGCCCTCCAGAACACCCACAAAACCATCACCCAGATTGCTTTTGCAACTTCAGTGTTGCTGCTGGTATGGTTGTTTTCATGCTAGCTGTGAGGGTGGAGGAAGGGTGTTTCAACATCTGAGACCCAGTTCCAATCTCGGAGTGTTTCCAAAGTTGAGCTGGGACTCCAAAGTCTCCTATGGCCATCTAGACAGCAGCTAGCAGCCATAGGATTGCATCCTTAGGTTCCTGTAGACATATACTTTGCAATAGTAATCAAATTCTTCCTTTTCTCACTCTGCCCAAAGAAAGGAGGCACTGACTGAACACTACAGTATACATTGAAGTTACTGGCTATACATGTATACACACATTTTCCTCTTGGTAAAAGCTGGATAAATGTTGCCTCCTCATGCCATGCATGGAAGTCCAGCTGCTGGCCATAGACCCCAAACAGAGTCACATTGGTTGTAGTGAGTAAGTGAACAAGATTTTGGTTGGGGTGGGGGGGCTTGGTGTCTGACAAAAGAGCTTTGTGCCTTTATGTAAAGGATGGGATTTGCATGGGAGGATTGCCTTCTCTAGGAGCCAGCACCTTCCATGCAACCTTCCTTGCTCTATTTTGCAACACCCAGCCATCTGCCAATGAAAGGCAGATTAAAGCCAGCCAAATTCAATTTCTGCTCACTGCTGCCACAGCCCCACATCTGAGGCTAAAGTGTCCTCGACAAAATGAACATGACAACCACATTGCTTTTTTGTCACATCCAGTAGCATGTTGATCTTCTAAAAGTCTCATAAAAATTTATTGATGTCTCTCGTATTGCTGTGATCGAGAAGGAAACTGTGTGTGTGCGTGTGCGTTTGTGCACGTGCGTGTCTGTGTGTCTGTGTATGTACGTATTAATGCTCCTGGAATAGATCTGATTTGATATGTCTTGTTCTATTGTCAGCATCTGTTTAGCAAGGCTTTTTAATACTTTCTGGCTGCCGATCAGTCATCCCTAGCTTGGGATGCTGACTTGCATACAAATTTTATTATTAAGTACAATTCTTTCTCTCCCCATCGTCATCGTTGTCCTCCTCCCCCACCCATAACCACCCTCCCCTGCACCTAGCCACCCATCCATCACACTCACACACGCACGCACACAGCTATTGAGAGGGACCTCCAGCTGCAGGAGTCCTGCAAGCACAAGACATCAGCTTGGGTAACATATTTCAGAGTCCCATTTTTGCCTGTTGCAGGTGCTTTGTATTAGTAAATTGAATCATGTGGAAATCATTTATTTCCTAATGCTGTTTGTGGCATGTTAGTGAGAGAATTTACATGAGAGAGATTACTTTAATAACCAAAAAAATTACAGTGCAGGGTCTCCCCGCCCCGTTGCCTTTGATATGTAATTGTTTCAAATTTAACCTGTCTCGAGTGAGGTTGAAAGGCATTATTAAATCTGAAGCATCTTGCTCCAGGGAGGGTGGGAAAAAAGGAGGATCACCCTGGTGTGAACTTCCTTCCAGCCGTTAAATAGAAATGGAGTGAAATTAACAAATCAACCAACCAAAACCAGAAGGAAGTCCTAGAGCCTAGAGAAGGCCTATCTAATTTTAGTGATCCCCCTTCCCTGTTTTTGGTTCCCCCCTCATATTCTCTTCCTTTGACCTATGTGGGATCTAATGGTTTTCATTCCTTTTAAACTCTGTATACATGAGTTCTGTTCAAAGGCCAAGAGTCTGCTGGATGTCATGAACTATGAATTTATATTTAGAAATGTAGCTGCACATCAAATACCTTCTGATTTGAGAGGAACTATAATCAATCACAGAGTAATGAGGCAGCTCATATGAATGACTGTTCAATGGCACAGTACTAGCAGTGGTTTGCTAGTCAGATACATCAGTGTGCCAAGGGGCAGCTACTTTAATTATTATATTTAGATCCCACTTTTTTTCCTTTCAAGGAACTTAAGGAAGCTTACATTATACTTCTCCTGCTCTCAGTCTTATTCCTGCAACAATGTCTCTGTGAGGTGGGTTGGGCTGAGCGTCTGTGACTGGCCCAAAGTCACCTAGTTGGCTTCATGGCTGGGTGGAGATTAGAACCCAGAGCACCTGAGTCCCAGTCTTAACTCTTAACACTTGCAACAAGATTTCTATTCATACAAGGTGGAGAGTACTCAATAAGCATTTTTGAACAATATCTGTGCCCCACAAACAGTAACATCAAGGGGGTACCACACTGCTGATGTCTCATAGATATCCCCACAGCACAGCAGACTACTTTTCTTCATGGCAGTATGTCTGTTGATGGTTTTCTATATCACCTCTATTTTCTTCAGCCCCACCCTCTCCATTTTCATTTTCATTCCCAATACTCACCAATCGGTCTGTAGTTTCATCCAAGCTTCTGCCCCATCTAACATGGCCACTACAGAGGCTAGCACAGTTGGATATTTGTCAGATCCCAGAGCTAATAAGGGGCCAACAAACTGAAAAAAAGTGCTCTTTTTCTGTGTGTGTGTGTGTGTGTGTGTGTGTGTGTGTGTGAATGAATGTGTATTTTAGATTATTATTTTAGCATCTTGTATTGGTGGCTTATAATTTTTTGAGATGGTCAAAGAGCTTCAGCTACTGGGCAATATAGATATGGAACTAACAATGATACTAGTAAGGAAGATGAAAAAGAAGCAGCAGCAAGTTGGGGGCAACACACATTGCCTTTGGATTGGCAGGGCTTTTGCCCAAAGTCTGTGCTCCAGAGTCCCCTGGAACACATTCAGGTGAGCCTGGTACAAAATTTCAGTTTGCATAAAGAGTCTTTCTAGGTTAAACTGCCCAAGGAGCCTGCAAAAGTCCAATCAAATGACCTTCTTTTGTTTTACTTGATGGCATATTTACCTATAGTGTCTGGCTCTTATTATACATGAATTGCTTGTTTAGTCCAGTGGACAGCAGTATATGGATGGAACAGGCAGTTATACTTCGAAGTCTATGTGGTACAAGGGCTAGATTTTGAATGTGAGTGATTCAAGTTTAAATCTGTACTCAGTTGAAACGTTTATAGGCAGTGTCAGGTGTCACTCTCTCTCAGCATAATCTATTTCACTGGGGGTTTATTTTATTTCAATTCAGTTCTATCCAATAACCAATGTCATTTGGATTACAAACAGTTAAAAGACTAAAATACCATAGAGTTAAAAATATAAAATGTAATGCCAATATTTAATTGGCTATAATACAATGGAAAAATTAAACAGCATAGGAATTGATAAAAACAACTTCAAAATCAAGAATTTGGTTTCTAAACTTCCTGTGGGAAAAGAAGCATCTTTGCCTCCTGCCAAAATAGTTGCAGCTGAACTACTTTGGGGGATCATTCTTTAACACAGGTGCCAGGCAAATCTGTTAGGAGAATTCATTCCATAAGTGGGATGTCACAATTGAGAAGGCCCTCTCTCCTCTAGTCACCTGTCTAGCATCTTTCAGCAAAGACATCTGGAAGAGTACCACCAAAGATACGACCTAAGGGTCCAAGCAGGTACATATGGGAGAAGATGTTCTGTTAGATACTGATGTTGGACCATTTAGAGCTTTAAAGGTCAACACCAACACTTTGAATTTGGCAAGGAAACAGCAGAAAGCCAGTGAAACTAACAAAGCACTGGTGTCACATGACCGTACTGGCCAGTCCCAGTCAGTCACCCAGGAGCTCTGTTTTGAACTAACTGAAGTTTCTGAACCAGCTCAATATACAACATTGGATTACAGTAATCCAATGAGGACATTACTAGAGCCTGGATAACCGTTGCATGACTAAAAACATGAGCAATTCTTCTCTAAGCTCTTTGAAGGAAGGGTGTGATACAAATGCAACATAAGAATGATAGGGAAAGAAGGTTGGGTGGGCCAGGTGATCAGACTGTGTAGTGCATTCTGCTAGTGATGGACTTCTAGCCACTGCATGCAAAGGGTGACCTCAGAGAGCTCATGATCTTATAACAGAGGGCTTTACAAAACAAACTAACTTCTCCTGAGTCTTCTGCTGGGAAGTTTCTCTGCCCATATTCTTGATGGTACTGATAGTTTTCTCTTCTCTCTTGGCAGTAAGAACTCTATATTGAAAGATGTCATGGCTCCAGGCACTCCCAAGGTAAGTGAGCTAGATTCAGTCACAATTTGTTGATTTCCATTTCTTCCATGTCCCTGCAAACATTCCATTCTTTGATTTGATTTGCTCTCCCTGTCATCATCTTCATATAAATATCTATATCCTGTCCTGCAAAAGAACACAACCTTCAGGCTTGCAGAATTTTTTATTTTTTTGCTAGAACCTGAAGAACCACCAACCAGAGTCTGCTGCAAAAGATACAAATCAGAATTAAATCATTTTGAGCCAAGGAACTTGTTTTCAGTACCAGAACTGGGTAACAAAGAAAATCTGCTCTTGGTAACCATTCTCCTCCAGTTTTCTGTATTTCAAGAATATAATTTAGCATGTGTTTTTGGAGGAGAGGGTACCATTGTTAAGCAACTGACAGTCACCCATCTGATCTACTTCAAATCACCCAAAGAGCTGGATCCTATATTTTGCTCCACTCTGGTGTATGCAGATCATAACATTCCTTACATGAGGGACAGTCACACAAATTTCTGTGTCTGCAGATGCATGCCTCATACTGGTGCCTTGGTACATATTGGTAAAACTACTGCAAAACAACTTTGGCATTTTTAAATTGTTACAGATTTCACTCATACTGATCCTTAGGTCCAATGGTCAGAGGGTGAAACCTTGTAACTTTCCTTTTGTTCACATGCTCAGAAAACTTCTGCCTATTGGAAAATACAGCTGGTAAGATGCCATTTTGAGTATATTAAGTTAGCTAGTGGTTAGCTACAGCTCCTCAACAGATATATACTTGATGAGCTATACAGGGTTATTCTCAAATAATGTATAAAGTAGCCCTCAGAATTAGGTAGAAATCCCAGTCAGCCAAAGTATTACTTGCTTTCGTAGGCTGCTTAGGGTATGTGTATTGGACCAACTGTGCTATCTCGGTGCTGCTCTGACAGATCAAGAGCTGATGCTTCTGATCTGAGAATCAAACAAACAAAAACCAGAAGTAAGCATAGAAGCACAGGCCTGAGGGAAACTCTTCAATTAAAAATCAAGAATCTTCACATTTGTCTTTGTGCTTCGCCAGGGCATAGAAAAGGGCAAGAGCAGCATGAAAAGCGGCTCTTGTGTAGCGCATTTCACGTGTGTTCATTGCTGGATGCAGATAACTCCTCTGTCCCAAACACCAAGCCTGAGGAGGAGTTCAATAGGCAGATTAGCTGTTTGGAGGTAAATATAGTGAGCTAGGGACTGTCACCAGATAACCAAGGAAAAGCCTTTTCTCCCAGCAGGGATGGGCCTTTGAAGAAGCTTCAAGCAACAAAGAATCCCATTTGCTTTGAGCAAAGGGATTAAGGCAAGATAGTTGAGGGTCCTGTGTAAGAAGATCAGTCATCTGCTGGCACCACATGGATTCCCCCCACCACCCTCCTTAAGAACATTAAGAAGAGGGATCTTTTGAATTCTTCCCTCAGTGACTTGGCCTCAGAATTGTTATTCTGAAGCGGCACTTGCTTGAAGAGGCTTGCATGTTACAAAATTTGTGAGAGTTTGGTTGCTGGACTTTTGTAGGCCAGTATCAGCTGCATTACTTCTGTGTAAATCTAAGCTAATATTTTCAGGGCTTAACTTACAGGAGAATAAAGATGCTGAGGCTCGTCTAGCTGAAACCAACACTCTCTGATACTCTCTTCTCACTAATTTCTGCTTTGGTAGAACTCTTTATATTACTAGTTGTAAGAAAAGTGCACTCTGCACCTACTCAGGAGTGCTTTCACATCTTTATGTAGTCCAGAGAAAAATCCAGGCATTGAAAATGAGATGGAGGGTTGGAGGGGATAAAACCAGAAAGGGGAACCATTAGAGAGGCATAACATTTTGCAAAGAGAACTAGACAAATGTACATATTTTTCTTTTTTCAGTTCTTGTTGGCACAATTCATATTTCGGATTCCCTCTCACCTTTAATCATTGGACATAAAATCAGAGACATGTTTGTTGAGGGGGAAAAGTAGAGAGGGGGAAGTGATGATGGGGATGAACATAGATGGTTTCCAGTTATTGGAAATGGTGCACATACTGTACTATATTTCTGAGCCATTAAAGTTTGCAGGTCATTGATGCATAGCATACATTCACGCCTTTTCCTTGCAACTACAAGGACTAGAGACCTATAACACATGCAGTAGGAGATTGGCATAGGATAGGACTAAGTTGAGCTTTCTTCCCTATTCCTTGCCACCTACATACACATCAGCCACTTACATACAAGGACATGTATGTCATTAGCCTTGTCTATTCAACAGAAGGCATATGAATGCCTTCTGTGTAAGCCTAAAGTTTTGCCTCCCATCCCCAAGGCTTACAAGTTCGTTATGCTTCATTGTGACCTTTGCTGATTCCATCCCATGCAATTAACTGTGTCTATGGAGGGATGAAGGTGGTGGATTGTGCCCATAATTTGAGGCTTGAGCTTATATTCGTAAGGTAGAAATAGACAAAATACAGAAATATTGCAATAAAGGATCTAATTTAAATGGAATATGTGTTTTCTGATTAATATATTTCCTCATTTTGACCACCGAATGTCACTATTTGTTCACATAAAGGGATTCCAACAGATACATTCTGAAACACTTGGTTTAAGAGGTCTTCCCTTCCCACAGTGCTCCCCCTAAAAGTTAAAGGGATTTTCAGAAAGTTATGCTTGTTCACTTCTTAGCTAATTGACAGAGATTTGGATTGCCACAATGTCTTCCTTGTGAAAATCAGAGTGCTCTGTTCTACAGCATTCCTGCACAAAAGTGTAAATGCAGTCACACATCTAGTGGGCTCATCTTTCTTTCTCCCAGGTGAAAAATACTGTCAAATAGTGCTTATATATATGTTGCATGGTTATAAACTCTCTGATAATCTCCTTCCTTTCCTCCTCATTTTCTCTGTGTTTTGTACATCTCTGATTTGCTTGACTTCCTGTACAGCTCTGAGTCATTGGAGCAAATTCAGTAATTCTCCCCAGTTGTGGAAATGAGCCGCAGATGATGGTGCAGTGGTGGTGGTGATAGTATAGCTATGCACTTATTTATTAAAGTGCCCATTAAAAAATGACTTGAATAGGCAGCATCAGCCTTCAGGACATTTCTGTGTTCAGAATTGCTTTTTTGCTGTTTCTTGGCATCAGGACGTCATGAACTACCTAGACTGGTGTGTGGGCTCAAGAAGCATATCCGCAGATCTGCTCCTCCTCTGTGTCTAGGACTTCTCGAGCAGGATGCAGGAGAGCTGTGCTTTTAGCAAAACCATCAGTTGCAAACCTGCAGTCTTTGGGCAGATTTCCAGTCTTCTGCTCTTGGCTGTTGTTCCTGCTTCTGAATGAATGCTGCTGTAATGCCTTCCAGCACCTTGTGTGCTGAATGCCTCCTGCTGTGGTGGAAGCTTCTTAAAAAACTGAGTCGTGGTTGAGGCAGTCCCTCTGGTCAGTGACTGAGCTCAAGCTGGTCCTCCCATTTTCGTGGCACTCTTTCTAGGAGTGAGAGGGAAGCAGGCTCTCAGTGATCTTTGTTACTTTGGCAGAGGCCAGAGTGTCCTCCTTTTTGGTAGATCTGCAGGCCAAGCTGTATGACATCAGTGGCACAGGGCAACACTTTCCCTGGATTCGCCCCCCCCCCCTTTACCATTGAAGGAAAAAGGAAGCTGTCATCTTTCCTGCAATGAATAGCAATTTCAGTCTATACCTTAATGGGATTCCCTTTATAGGTCCTCACCCATTGCAGTATCTATAATTATACTTGTTGTTCTGGGAATAGAAAGATAGCAGAAACTAGATATATTGGTGTCTGTAAAGTGTGTGTGGGGCTATAATATATTTACACATTTACAATTATTGTTACAAAACTAATGTATTTGTTCCCCAGCTATGTGAGCTGACAGATGTTTGATCACTGACATTATGTATGCCTATTTTTTGGCAATCAAATCCAGATTTCCATTCTGCTTGTTAAATGAATGTCTTCTGCATTCTTTGCTCCCTTTCCCCCTTCTCCCTCCCTCCTTTCATCACTGTGTAGACAATTGTGGAACTGTTTTATTATGTCTAATGATCTGACCATTAAAGTCCTCCAAGGAGAACATCCTCCATTCTTTCCAAATATCTTACTTTTAGATAACATGATCTCTGTAGTCCTGGATCCTCAGTGACAGAGTTGTCATGTACATTTATGATGACCTTGGGGAAATTGCAGAACACCTCAGGGCACCATCTCTAAAAGTGATAGATGATAAAGATTAATAATTAAATCTGCTCATTGTGGTTGTAGGGGAGAAGGAGAAACCAGAAAACTATCCATGTATATTTGAAATATGTCAGCACTTAGGGCTGGTATTCATGTGGGAGAAGATACTGGGAAGAAGATTGGGTAGCTTAAGTTTGGAAATGTGTCCACTAATGCTCTGATCCAAAGTATACTTTATTGGGAGTAAGCTTTATTGAAATCAATCACACTTACTTCTAAGCAAAGGGATTTAGGAACAGAATTTATTTCTTTTTATGAAAAACCAACTTCTTAAAAGCATCATATTCTTGCAAACTCACAGGAGAAGATTCTCTGACCCTGGATATTTAAAACTGGTTCAAACATACCCCTGTGGAGTGTGTGATAGATGATCAGTGAGCTGAAATGAGTAAGTCTGACTTCTCTGCAAATAGCTGCATAGAAAACAGTATCAAGAGACACCTTCCTTAAATTCCTGGAAGATTGCCACAGCTCAATGATAGAGGACATGCTTTGCATTCAAAAGGGCCCCGATTTAATCCAAAGATCTCCAGATAGGTTTAGGAAAAACCCCTGTCTGAAACCCTGCAGAACTGTCAACAACCAGAACTTGATGGACGAATTGTCTGACTTAGTTTAAAATATCTTCTTTTTTCCCCATGTATGATGTTTACTGGAATCCTCATACAACAACACACAAGCTTGACCGGATCTTTTCTCGGTGTTCTGTGACACATAGAGCACAGCACATTGGCCTTTGGTGTAA